GTCGATCCCCGTTTTTTTTTTTTTTCAGTTCTTACGCGTAATCGTTACACGCCGGCGCGTGAAAACCGTAATTGCGCGTCTCGTCGTCCCGAGACCAGCCCAGATCGCCGCAACGCGGTGCGTACCGCGCGCGTCCGATTCCGATTTTCCGTGTTCCCGCGCCGTTTCCTCGATTTTTCGTTGCGCTCAAAAACGCGTACCGATCGCCCAAGGCCGTAACTGGGAGGGGGTCCAGGGGTCCGCCCTCCCCTCCCCGAAATTTTTTTCCAGTTACGGCCTTGCGATCGCCATCGATCGTCGCTGACCGCGCGAGTACCCGATACCCGCGCGCCCGGCTTCGTCGGCCACCGGTTGGAATTTATCCTATACCACTACCGACACCTGCGAACGGACGGTGTTGTGTCGTTACAATTATAACCGTAAAAATTATAATCGTCCACGTGGCTCCCCCCCAGTCGCCTTCGACGCTGCCACCGCCCTCCAAGGGCCGTGTTTGGTTCACCGTCCACCACCACCGACGCGACAACGAGACCGGCCGATTACGATCGCGAGTTGTCTCAGCGCCCCGACGACAATCGCGCGTCAGTCAGTCCGCCGCCGACCGTCAACAACACAAGTCGGCCTTCAAGCCGTCCAGTCGTCGTTGCCGCTCCGTCGCCGACACGGTGTCTTCGAACAATCCGTACGTATACGATACAGTGATGTATTGCTAAAATAAATCATCGGTGTACACGCCTTATTTCGTGTGGGAACCAAAAATAATCATCCTTAATTATGACTGTTTGACAACAAAAACTTGTTGTTTAATTATAACATATTTGAATTTTTCATTCAAAAAAATAATAATAATAATAATAATATATCCGATACCGTATCACGTCATAAATATAACCACTAGTTGTTTATATTTGTCAAATTTCAAGTTATACGCTGCACACGACCGTATCATCAATTTTTCATAAGCTATACGCCGGGGATAAAAATAGCGTGTTGGGTATACGCCGTATACCCCCGTGTACCTTCCAATACACCACTGCGATAATACATCTGTACCAGTGACGTAGCCTAGGGGGGTGCAGCCCTCTCAGAAAATTATTATAATGGTCAATGAAAACCGCTAAAAAAGTAAAAATATTTAAACATTTTAATATTACATATCTGTAGTAGTAGGTTAATTTAATGCATGTGATATTGTGCATCGGTCACGAATCGCAAATTCAACTTCAGAGTCAAGATTTGTCGCACTCGCATTAATATATATTCATAGAGACTTTGAAATTTCAGACGATCGAATATTTGATACATTTGTTCACAGCAAAAAGGCTTAAAGGTTAAAATTGTCACTTACATTTTTTGTCATTTCATAATAAAATTAATTAAAAACGTTAATAAGTAATTAAATAAGTACCGTTAATTATTTTTATATGTCATATTATATTTATGTTTATCAAGTAGGAGTTTGTTTTATTTTATAAAATGTTGGTCTATTATATTATGTCCTATTAAAAAGCAAAAATGCATCGCTATTTTTATTATTATTATTTTTTTTTTAATAAGTCATACGTGTAAAATAATTTATTTTACATTACTATAAAACGCAATATCCAAAGTATTTCAAGTATACAAAAGTATTATTAAATCAATGTTAAGGGTTATAGGAACCAAAATCTATAATATAACTTTGGCAACCACGTGTTAAACGTATGGAAGAACCTATCTAAACCACCTTTGTGTAAAAAATAATAAGCCCCCCCCCCCCCCCCGAAGAAAAATCCTGGCTACACCACTGGTGTGTACATTTCAATAAATCGTACAAAACGATGCGCGCGTGTGCTTGGCTCCTGACCACCATCTCACGCACCCCGAGATCCTACAATGATCGTTTTCGCGGTCAAACACCACATGGCAATCCACAGGATACCATTTCACCGTGGTTCGTTATCGCATTGCGGCCGAACTCGGTTGACGTGACGATACCTTTACGTGCTCCGGCAATGATAGAAAATATCTAACTAAATACCCGTTAGGCATGCCCGTATATGGCCGCGTGTGTTTGAGGGTAGTTACTGAAATTATAAACTTAATCGATAAGTCCATGTAAATTAATAATATTACAAACGCAAAATATTTACATTTGAATTCAGTACAATAACTCGGGACGGAACGATAGTTGGTCCACAACGAACACGGTGATTGTGGAATAGTACCTTCTGACCCAATAAACGACGACGATCTTATTTCCGATTCACTTGACTTTATGGTTCTCGAATAGTAATTTACGTAACAGCACATAACCGATTACACCACCCCGCCTTCCGTTCTCTTCTCCGCGCTAGATTTTTCCGGAAGAACTAATCCCTTTTCGTCGATTTTACTGTACACACGGTTCTATAACTTGATTCCGATCATTGTAAATCGAATAAGAAATTACGGACATTTTATTTTTACAACATTTTGCATTCGACAACTATTGATTCCGGATATCGACTTCAAATTCAAGCCGATTTGAATGGCCCGTACATTAATCGAACTTATATTTCTAAAATTCTTGTTTTTAGATGAAAATACACCGAGTTCAAGTTGTTTTGTATATTGTCTGATGCATCTCACACCCGTCTCACATCGTGCATAACATAAAAGAATTTTTTTAATTAATTGAACAATTATTTTTAAATTTTAAATCATGGCGATAAATATAATCACCCGTCAATTACTTATTTTTAGATATCTACAATAATAATCTCATGACCCACTGATTTGAACTGTTATAGCTCGAGGCTCCAGCCTTAATACACCATTGGTGTGCGATGTGTATGAATAATTCCTACACGCGGAGTTTTATTAAGTTATTTTGTCTGTAATACGCCACCCAATTGTTTTACATCGTCTCTGTGCATGTATTTAATATTTTTTAATATTGTGATTTTTTTCAACTACCGCTTTTCCTGCAAAGCATCTCGTTTCCAATGTTGAGTCGTGTAATGTGTAATATGACGTTACACTTTAGCAGGATGTTTTACGCTTTCGTTTTCGTGTAGCAATAATAATCATTCAGTTTGTAATTATATTATAATTGTCGCGATGATGTTTTTCTTCCGGAAATTGGCGAAACGAGAATTTCAACATTTTGTTCCCAAGCGGAATAACAAAATTATAATTATGTCTCTTATAAACAGTTTGACGAAATTTAATATTGTTTGTTTTTTCGTCGTTTTCACAGACCATACATACCGGAAATGCATTTACCAGGTATCGCTTCATGACTACGCTTCCAAATGTTTAGGGAGTCGAAGCAAAGTATTATTCCATTTGAACGTCTCATTTGACCATAAAACTCAATTTTATTTTAAGCCATCCCACCGTGCTATCTCATCCAGACAGCAACAAGGCGATTCTCATTACGAGGTCAGCCGAGATTCGAGATAGGTTAGTCTACATATATACATTTTTAAGTGCCAGAAATAGCGTGCATCGGGAATTTTGTGGGTTTTAATAATTCGACTGCAGTAACTATTTCAAAGATCTTTTCGATTTGTATGTATACAAGAAGTTAACTAAGACTTGAATGTCAAACTCTTTGTGGTGTGTTGTATTCGTTTGGCACGATATCGAATCAAACTTTTCTAGAATCTGCCCCTCTACCAATATATATGTACACAATTCAACGAGGTATTGTGAATTTTTAATATTAAATTGCGTGATTTTAGAACTATATGTTTAACACATCCTCAGCTGATTCGTCCACAACCGCGAAACTGATAAAAAACGTTTGTCGTTACTATATTTGCATATATAATTTTAAAATAGCTTTCGATATTTTGATAATAATGTCAATTAGCTGCAATAAATCACTTTCGAGTAGTTCTATCGAAGGTAAAATATGAATAGGATATGAACATGCAACCAATAAAAGTAATAAATCTATTTGTGACATCCTTGTTGGTACATATTTTATGTATATATGTATACATATATTTTATATATATATAAATATGTACTATTATACAGGAAATATGAACATTTTTTTTATATCTTCATAATTTTAATTTTGTATACTCTACAGAAAAAACAGGAACTAAAATCTATTAAAATATTGGGAATAGAAACCTAAACAAAGTTAAATATTCCGGAACCGTAATATATTTTTTCTTTATAGAAATTAATAATGTTATAAAAATTAATAAATATAACTTCTATATTATTTTGCATTAATTATGTCTTTTTTATCCCGAATTGGTTATTACATCAGACTTCAAATTATCATATATAGGTATGATAATTGCTTACGTATTTAAGTATTGTAAGGTTTATTTATTTTATATTGATACGACATCACAAATATGTAAGTAAAATTAATGATAAGTAATAATAAAAATTAAATATTTGTATCTATATAATAACATTTTTATAATCGACTAAATTTGTCTAAATACACGTTAAATGACGACTTGATATTTATTAATTAAAATATAAATTAATATTTATTAACTAAGTCTGAGTGTGGATACATTTTTTTATATTCAAAATGCTCAAACGTGGACTCATAAAATAAAATGTATCGTTATTTAAATAATCCTAAGCCGTAGACAACTATATCGAAAAATGTTATCGTATCAAAATGTGAGAGTAACATTAAGAATATTTTAAAATGGACTCTCGTTAAGTATTCGATCGCTAAAATAACAATATATTATTAATTTACATTTGAACTATACATAGATACTTTTAAAAATCGAATAACGACTAGTACGAGGTCACAGACATTATGAACTGTTATTTATTTCCACTTTTCTATTTACATGGCTGATTTTTAATCTTTAATCTTTAAATCGTTTAATACTCATGCGTACAATTGTTCATGTATTGAAAACGATCGTACGTATTATCTTCTTCTGCGCGGTGAACTATGATCTATTATTTTTAGATTTCGGTAAAAAGTAGACATTATCGCAGAGACTTTCGATAAAATTCAACTGATATATTATAACAATAGTATTGGTGGAATACTATGTAATTTACTCGATAAAAATAAACGTTTGCTTATTATATAATACATATGCGTGCACTGCGGTTGCAGTAGTGCATGTACTAGTGGTAAAATGAGCTACATATGTAGCTATATAAAATACATTGATTTCAAATACTTCAAAAAATAATACCTCATTTATTTATTTTTATACTTTTTAGAAGTATTCATTACTACTTTTATTATACGTTTTATTGTATTACTATTTACTATAATAATAATTATTATAATTTTAGAAAAAAAAAACAATTTTTTTTTAATCATTACACTTTTATGCATTTAATTATTAGACAAAAGCAGACGCTTCCTGCAAAGTATGAGAGTTTTAATTTGTAGTACGAACCTATAAACAATTTAATATAATTAATATGTTATAAATATGATAGAAAATTATTGTACTAAAAATAATTAAAATGTATTATATATATTATTATTAATCATTATTGCTGTAAAAAATAATAAAAATTGCGATTAAAAATTACATTTAACTTTTTTATTTATCAAAATAACTATTTACAAGTAATTTTTATTAAGACTATCATATTACAAATGTGAGTTATTTTACAAAATTATTCAAAATAAAATTCATATTAATATTGGAATAGTGGTTTTAGTCTGGTCATCTAGGATACTACAAACAAAATTATCAACATTTAAAAATATTTTATTTCAACAACTTTTCATTTATTTTTTAATATACATTTGTGTGCCTACCTTAAAAATAATTGCGCTGCATGATTAATGACGTCTTTAAGTTTTCAAACTTAAAATACCTCCGATTTGAGAATAACAAGTTGTGTAGATCGTGCATTATTTTTTCAAATAATATTTCCACCATTTTCGTCAGAATCGACAAAACCTGAAATAACCATTATAATAAATAACCATATAATAAATAATAATTTATTTATTATTATTATTATTATATTATTTTGACATATATTAATATCTGGCTATAAGTTACAAATGCAATAACATCCAAGGTCTTATTATTAATATAGTCGAAATTAAAATTAACTAATTCTTATATGAATTATTTACATTACTTTTACTAGTGTATGTACAACTATTCAAAACACTTCGGATAGTATTCAGAATACATAATAAATATAATTAAATTAAAATATGTAATATTCAGATAAATTCATATTATAAATATTATTAAAAAAATGTTCAATCATCAGAGGCAAATGCAAAAAAAAAAATTTAGGGGGGTTTGAAAAAATGTAAAATGTAAAATGTTGATAAATAGCATGTTTTATTACTTATTATAATAAATATAAAGTATGTTTGCAAGTATTATAGGAAACTTTAAAATAACTATGAAATTTATAGGTCAGGTAATTTTTTTATAACATTTTTCTGGTTTTTCATTGGGGTTTTGAACCCCTACCCTCTGGTTTCACATTTGTCAACCATACTTGGACTCGCACGTTAACAACCTATGCACTTGCCTAAGATGTTCTTTTTTTAATTTTCTGTTGGGAATTATTGTATTCTTATGGAATAATCTAAAAGAAATTTTCATGAATAATATTGTTTCAATATTTACTTGAAAAGTGTTTTTTTATTATATTATGTTACACATATATTTACTATGTCACAATCCTAAGAATAAATGAAAACCGAGAGCTATAGTTTAACAATAGGTATGCCCGATGATACAGCCGTGAATCCATAGTGGAGGGATCTGCTTACGTAAATTTAGCTCCGTCAAATATTTTCCGATATCTTAAGAACGGAGTAAATAACACCACAATAGTATTAAGTTAACAGTTTTCACTTGCCCGTTTGAACGTGAACCAAATCAAAAGACATTTATAAGCTCCCCTTTAAAACACGATTTGGCCTCCGCCTGTTATCTGGGGGTTTATATACACTGCGCTTAAGGACCCTCATCTGCCACTTGAATAAGTTATCGGAGTATCGAGTGCTTGAGGAATTGGGTATATTTAGCTGCAACGCTGATGACTGCCACGGACAAGACCTACAATTAAACCGTATTTAAAATTTTTGATCCAAAGGTAACAGCATCATCTTGCTGCTAACTTGCACATACATATGAGAGAATATTCCTAACAAGGATATTTAAGGGGAATTGAAACCGATATGTCATATAACACATATTATATTACTTAATATCAAATAGGGTTTCTTTTAAATTCATGTCCATAATTAAATTTTATCTTAATAAAATAAAAAGTTTCGAATATTGTATACTTTGTTTAATACGAAAATATAATATAATGCCAAACAATTGGCATGATCGATTTGATGAATAAAATGACGAAGAAGAAAATATTTAATTAATACAATTTTTCATCTCTTTTTTTTGTTCATTATAAAAAATATCCCACCCCCTACTCATGTGTCAGGTTGCCGGAGTGAGTTATTTTCTCCTCTAAACCCCCCTTAAATATGATCTTAATTGCAAGACAATAGTTGTTCTGCTATTCGGCTGTCAAGAATTACTATCGATTTAATGCATAATATTTGTCCATACAGGTAAATAGGTGATTATTTTTTTCATTTTTTTTTTTTTTTTTTTAATGTGGGGGAGGAGCAATTAAACTTCTTTAAAATTATTGGAACTTCAATAATGTACGACAAAATGATATATACTCTATATCTTAATTTTCGGTTACTAAAATTCGATCTTCAGTGGGTGAAAGGCAGTCGCTCCTAAATTACGTGCCTGTAATGGTTGCCTAGAAACAGTGGCGTTTTGAACTAATTTTTGTTGAGGAGCAAAAAGGTATACAAACATAGGTACCCACCCCCAACTTTTATCCATCATAACGGCATTTCCACCACAACGAAAAATTTAAAATTTACAAAATACACATATGTTTGTAGAGGTACTTGTATAATCGGATGTACAATTACTATTCAATTAGTTCATCCATTACAGTCAATAATTATCTTGTATCATGATCTATGTAGTGTACATAGATGTAATGATGTTGAACGTTGTATATTATCTTGAAATGCCTAGTATTTTATTTCTGTAACGTTTTGAAATTTGTATAAAATACGGTTGGCTGTGGGGACGCCAAGGATTTTGCATTATTGTTATACCGTGCGGGCACCTGGTGATCGCGGTCGTTGAACGAATTTTCAAAAACCATTCATCTGTTTTTTTCTAATAATGCACTGTAACCGACAGACGACGAAAATTTGCATCGACAGACTGATGTTTTTAGCGTACTAATTTATTATTACGTTTTTGAGGCTTTATGCTGTAGGGTGTGGCGTAGGTTTCATATGTAAGGCACATATTATATTTCCATTTTCTACGATGTATCTAGCCACCTAGGTAATTTGTGGCAGGGTGACCACCCACTCACCAAAAATTTTGAAGGAGCAATTGCTCCAATATAATACCTTTGCCACGCCACTGCCTAGAAAAAATTTAAATTTACATATAGTTGAAGTTATCGTTTTATAACAACAATGACTACGACGGAGGGACGTTTAATTCCTTATCGTTCCCACTTTATATTTATTTTTTATCACATATCTACGACAACAGAGTCTTATCACGGGTGAACCGTCGCCGTTATCTCAGTAATAATAGTTTTATTCTCGTATGCCGACCAATAGTTTACTTAAATATCTAAATTATTATAAAATCATATATCTATATTATTGTTATGTGCACTCAGTGTACAGAAAATTTTGCGTTATCAAAATGATTTCGGATGGAAAAAATATTCGTTTTCAATTGGGTCGCACAGCGATTTCTAACAGTGATAATAATAATATTTTATTATATTGAGAAGTAATTAAAATAAAATAAATGTCATTTAAGTTGCACGCGGTGTTAACTGCGTTAAACTTAAGTTATTTTAGAGGCATTATGTACACGAAATGGATAAGGAGATCCGGGCTCCACAATCAACCTATTAATAGGTATTTATTGTTATAGCAAATCAATATACAAGCAGATCATTTGTAGTATAAAAATGATCCATTGAAAAACATGTGACATAATTTTGCTGTTTTAAATAAAAACGCCTGTTGCCCATCATGCACAAACCTAATTTTTACTCACAAATAACATAACAATAATAGTTACATGTGCACACATGTGTTGTGCAAATACAAACAGTTAATACTTCTTTATTGTTTGGATAGTTAGTACGTCATTGTTCGCTTATTGTAATTTGGTTTTATTATTTTCTTCCTTTTAGTTAGTGTTACTGCCACGTAAAAGTCCACACTAAGACTTCACCATGAAGAGGAGCACTCTGATTACGGTTGTCCTGATCTCTTACAGTAAGTATCATCACTAAACTCTACTTATTGACTATGGTATATGTAATATTATGATAAACTTGTATTTTTCCAACAGCTTTGTTTTGTTGCGTATCTTACACGTATGCAAATTTATTTTTCAACACTACGGACCTAACACTGTTGGTTAATGATTCTTCAACCATTACTTTGACCTTAACGTAAGAACCTTGAAAATTAAATTTTTCTCATAACATAAGCACTGCATAATCTGATCTATATTGTTTATTATAGGGATCCTATTCCTGAAAATACCACATTATTTCTCACCACTAAACATAAAGACATATTGACAGCAAATGTTTCACAAATAGAAGTGCCCAACTCAACAAATTATAAAAAATGGCAAGTTAAATTGTTGGGTCATGATGTTGGACACGACATATTGAAAGTTGACTCCTTGCCTCCTTTAAAAGAGTAATACATCTATATTTTGTTATAATTAGTATTATATTTACATATTAAATTCAAAAATGAAGCTGGTAACAAGTGAACTAGTTTATTAAGTTTAACTTAGTTGACCTATGAATTGTATATATATATATATATTACATCATTCATATATTTATACATAAAAGAAATCCTCATTCTTATTAATTATTATGTTTAAGCAAATGATTCGGATTCTTTTATTCCATATACTCATACTGAATTCTTGTAAATAATTTTTTATTTATCCTTGACATCAGAGTATTGCAGATTGCCTTCAGCGATTTAGCTACACTGCAAAATAATAACTATTACCTTTCACTATTGATTATATGTAATCAATGCTTACGCTAAATTACTTTTTTAGTCTTTTTGGTTAGATGAAATGGTTATTCTTTTTGCTTTTTTTTTTTTTTTTTTTAGTTTCTACGTTTTCTAAAAATTCTGTCTAAAAAAAAAAAAAATTATTTTTGTTAATATTTAAGCCATTAAAGAATTATTCTAGATGCACAATATTTTGCTTTGAACGGAAAGAAACTCATTTATATCATATGAATATTTGGTTTTCATAGAAAAATATAAAAATTAAAAACAATTATAAAACATTTTTTATACTTAAATTTTTAATTTTTCAATTATTTTACTGGCAGTACATTTATTGTAATTTGTTTTTAATTCTGATTAAAATGTAGCATCTACCATGTGTAAAAACAGAATAAAGATTGTAATTGAAAGGTATAAGTACTTGAAATTTTTAACATTTTTCTAAAAAATACAAAACCATTAAATTAAAAAAAAGAACTTTAAAAAATGTAAACATACTATAATTTTTAATTTCATCTTACTTAATTATTTTTTACTTGGCTGTACTCAACATTGTTTATAAAATTTGATTACATCTGCCACTAAAATTTAAATGTAACATTTACTGATGGTCTTGTATATTGAGATGAATTAAGTGATTGAAGAGTGCTCATTGTATTAATTAATATTTTTCATTATTTTTTATTCAAAGTGTGATGTTATGTTTATTTTTTTTTAAATATTTTAATTGTGTTATTTTAGAACTGGTGAAACTTTTGTTAGAGTAACTGTTCAACATTCTAATGAGTTGGCTTTAATCAGTGAAATTGTTGGTTGGATTTATTTTGTTGCATGGTCAATATCTTTCTATCCTCAGATGTATGAAAACTGGGTGCGAAAAAGGTATAATTTGTTCTTTGAAAATATAATTCCTGATACATCTCCAATATAATTCATAAAGTAAAATACTTCTAAAAATAGAGTTTTATAAAACATGTTACTCTATGTAATGATTTATGGCTTCTTGAACAAGTATTGTGAAACAAACTTTTTTTTTTTTAATTCCTTATAAAGTAAAATAATTAAAATATATTACAATAGCATTATAGAACATTAAATTTTCTTTCAAATTACAAATTTATTACTATTGAAATGATAAATATTTTACTATTAATTTTCTAATTATAATTATGAATCAATATTCAGTTTGATTATTCTATACATTAAACATCCGGTATACAACTGTATACATATGTAGTTGATGTTTAATTTATGACCTTTAAGAAATTTCAAAATTTTTCAACACGAGTTTAAATATACAGTATCTAATGTAATATAATTTATTTAGATACATGATTAATGTAGTAGATTTTAATAATAATGTTTTTAAAAAATTTGACCTAAATAATTATTATGTGGTTATCTCAATTTAATAAAGACCTTGATCGCATATTTTATTCCTTTACCTGTTTGTCTTACTTAAGTGTATTATGAATGATTACAAATTATTTATTTTTTTTATTTTTTACAGTGTTGTAGGTTTAAATTTTGACTTCACAGTATTAAACGTATTAGGTTTTGTTTTGTATTCAATGTTCAACATAGGTCTGTGGATGCCTGAAATTGAAGTAAGATGATCCACTTGACTGATAAATAATAACTTATGGCTAGGATTTATATGTGTTCTAAGAATTTATAACACTCATAAGATAATAAATATATTGTATAAAATGTAATTTTAAGTAAAAAATCATAATTTTTTTATAAATATATAAATATATACAAATAGATTTTTCATAAATTATATATTGTAATTAAACAAATTTCAAAATTTCAATTAAAGTTAATGATTTCAATCAAATTATTGAAATTGTTGAGTGTTTGGTTTCTGCCTTTCAGAGGTTCAACTTTAATAATGGGATTTTTATTAAATAATACTAAATACTATTATGTCACAGATTAACTAAGCATGTGCATATTTAATTGTAAATATATACTAAAAACTATAAACATTGAAAAGTATACCCCGAAAAAGTAAAAATATACATTAAGTGTTAATTTACATGGTACAAAATTGACCATTAAAAAAACTGCATATGAATTCTAGCTTTGAAATCAAGGGTTATGAATAATAACGATTTATTTTAATTTAATATTTTATAATTGATCAGAAAGAGTATTTTGACCGAAATCCTCGTGGACTGAATCCAGTTCAATTAAATGACATATTCTTTTCTATTCATGCTGTGGTTGCAACTGTTATAACTGTGATTCAATGTTATATATATGAGGTAACATCATATATTATTTAGTAAAACATTTTGTTATTTAATAAACAAATTAGTACAAATAATATTTCAAATAGTCTTATAGTATTTTTATTTAAAATATTCTTGTTTTGTAGAGAGCTGATCAGCATGTCTCATGGACCGCCAAGTTAATTATGATCTTTTATGGATTAATATTGACTGTCCTATTAGTTTTTGTAAATTTAAACAAAATCATGTGGCTGGACTTTCTTTATTATTGCTCATATATCAAGTTGTCCATTACTCTTATTAAATACATTCCACAAGTAAGTGTTTTCATAGTAAGGTCTATTATCAAATTATTTATTATATCACTAATTAATGTTATTAAACATGTTACTAAACATGTTATTTAAATTTTAACCAAATAATTAATTTAAAAATTATTAATTTCTAGGGGGTAATGAATTACAAGCGCAAAAGTACAATTGGTTGGAGTATTGGCAATATATTCTTAGACTTTACGGGAGGGATTCTAAGTATACTTCAAATGATAATTAACGCATATAATTACAGTAAGTAATAAAATATACAATGAACATATAAGTGCATACAATTTTTAGTATAGAGTGTGTAGAGGCAAATCCACATTTACCATTTATGATGAAATTGTTTATTGTCTATTTTTTATATACTTCATTAATCAAATTTTTGATTTAATTTCATTATATATAAAATGGGAAAATATTCATTATATTACTTGAATATATTTTAAAATAAAATTATATAAACTATTTTTCACTTATGATATTTATAGTATATGGTTTCAATATTTATTTAATATTTGCATAATTTTTATAAAAAATACATAATTTATAATAATATAATGTGAGTATTTTCATAATACATGCTCATTATTTATTGATTTTAAAATTAACATAAGAATCAGTTTAATGAACATTAAATGAGAAAACACAAATAAAATAAGTTAATTTTATAATCATTTTTGTTATACTTAGTACTTAATAGTAATATTGTATACTTGTATTAACCCCATTATGTCTTAATATTTAAAATAGGAAATATCAAAATGAGATATATTTATATACAATTTAGCAAAAAAAAAAAAGTTTTGGTTCTACACACTCTCTGCTCATGTCTATAATAATAAATATTGTCTATTTTTTTATTAACTTATAATTTATTTTAGATGATTGGGCCTCTGTGTTTGGTGATCCAACCAAATTTGGTTTGGGTTTGCTGTCAATAATTTTCGACATTATTTTCTTCCTACAACATTATGTATTCTATGGGTATGTGTCACGCTTGATTTTTTGCATTGTGCATGTAGTAGCTTATTGCATGTTTACTGTAATTTAGCCATCGTCTGCTTTTTGAGAAAAAATCATTTAAGAATTGGAAATAATAACCCCCAGTCTTGCGCAAATGGTTCTGGTAATATTGAGTATTTCAAAATGTACACTTTAATCATTCTCCTTATTCTTTGCTATTTTTTCAGTTCGAAGAGTTCGAATATTTATGATCTCAAAGGTTGCACGTAATATTAGTATTTTAATTATAAATGTATTTTATATTTTAATGTTTATAACTCTAACTTAAATTAGTTTAGTTCATATAGATATTTTTGTTTTTAATGTATTGAAAGTATCTAATAAATACTACCATTGTTATTGTTTTGTGTCTAAACAATATTGTTTTATTTATAATCATTGAGTTTTGACTAAATATATTTATACATTTACCAATGCTCATTATATTGTGCTTTTTAGTTTATTGATCACTATTAGCATTGATTGAATTTACGAGGGACACCGGTTCGTTCCTTGATATAGATTTATATGTTTATAGCGTAGCTATGTGACATACAAAATTTTGAACCATACTTATTATGTTATCGTTTTTATGCATACTTCACTGAATTTGTATATTACATCATTATTGTTCACCAAAAAAATATAAATCATTTAATATTAGTTCTTAACACTTAACTGTTTGTTATTTGTCTTTATTATTATTGTAATTGTTTTTTTCTAGAGGAAATAACTATCAAGAATTCGAAAATCGTAATGTAGTAGAAGTGGACGATCAAGATGAGGTTACTAATTCAGAGGATTGTTCTGAATCATCGGATAAACCAGACAGCCAATTATGTTAGAAAAAAACATCTTTTTAACGGTTTCAACTGTAGGTTTGATCAACCATAACTCACAAATCTATGATACCTACTGTAAGTCTCTCGATTACTTAGGTAACACCTGAATAAGACTGATATCTACTTAACACCAAAGGTTTATGTGACTTGCACATTTTCTTTTATATGATTATAATAGTTTATTTTCAAGTATAATAGTTCTATTTGAATTACATTTCGTTGAAAATTATTAGCAATTTTTCAACAAGCCTTAGAAACAATATTTCTGTTGGTAAACCATACCTGAACTAGTATTAACAGTAATTTTGTTTAAAACTCTGATAACTATCTATTATTTTCTTTAGTTATGTCTTATTTTAAAAATCTCACAGTCTGTAAATACGCACACGTGATAAGTTGGGTGTGTTTACATGTTCTAAGTTATGATGAAGATACTATCTATTGATACATTTTCATTCCATTTATATTATATTACATTTTATACTAATTTAGCCTTACACAATGTTTTATCCTAACAGTCTACAACTTTGAATGGTAAAAATGTCACTTGTTTGTTGATGTTTTGTCTTTTTGTACGGTTAAACATAAACAAAAAAAATTTGTAGGAGGTGAATTTTTAATTTCCTATTGAGTTTTGAGTTTTTATTGAATATTTCGTAAAAAAATAAAATCTGTGATCAATCTATATATATTCATACTGTTGTCAATATAAAGAGTCTAGGTTAGTGTCTGTTAAATAATAAATAAGGCTTTGGCATTTAATTGTTGTATTTTATGCTCTTATGTTATTGATCACGTTTGACAGGAATAGTTGACCTGATCAAAAACTAAGTGTATTTGGACTTGTTAATTTTAAGACTTTGAGGAAAGTTGATATAATAGTAAATATATAGTATATAATAGTAAGGATAATAGTAAGAGGTTTCTTTGATTTTGTATACATGCTGAGATATTCAAAGGATTTAAATGTGTAGAATGTTTTACTATTGTGTGCCAGGTTGTTGGTGTAGGTTCATTTACAGTGTGAAAATTGTGTAATATGAAAGAAATATGTAGCATGGTAGATACTGTTCTATACCCCTAAAATATTATTTAGGTAAAATTTGAAAATTAAATAATATAAGATAGTTATGCATAATGAGAGTTTTTAATTTTGGTTATGCTGCTTTTCGTAAAATCTTATGACTGCTGTGATATAACTGTTATAATTATACAATTAAACTATGACAATGATCTGGATCCATTAAAATAATTGGATTTTTTAGTACAATTTATTAAACAATTGTGGTTTAGCGTAATTAACAATTTGATACCTAGTCTAACAATATTATACTATATTATATTAAGTATATAATGTAAAGTGCAATCACGTTCACATGAAACAAAATATTTATGACATAAGTGTATATGTATAAAATGCTTATTATATTATAGTTTGTGATATTTATTACTTTCCTAATTGTACTGTTAAAATGTCTACAATGTGATTTATATTTAAATAATTTGTTATCAAAGAATTTACGTCTTATATGTCTATACTTTTTTTAAACTATAAATCGAACACGATAAGTTAATGGAAACATTTAACTGCGCATATAATATTATATTATTATTGTTGTTCAAACGTGAACGTATCTAATAAAAGTGTTAATCTTAAATCGATTACCTACCTGTGGTATAATTGATGCATTGTGCAGAAACGAATTTTCTTGCACGATTAAATTATTTATTTGCTTATTGTACGACTAATCAATTGTCCATCGAGTTTTGAAAATGATGACATTTGTACCTATGTTATTATATTAATACAAATATATCCGACATGGACTCCTCGATTGTCCTTATACGTCGTCTAGAATTTTATTCCTGTTACCGAAATAACGAAAAATATATTTCGCGTGTTTATGGCCATGCAACAGTGGTGTCATGCTCCCGTCCTCAAACCGGATATTGTCTAGAAAATAATTATACTTTTCAGTATTCGTCTAAGAAAAGAGATTAATAATCAATATTAAAATACGGGGTTGTATAATGTAAGTTGTAGTGAATATTTACTAATATGCACGGAAATGAACAAGACAATTGTTATGAGAATTCATATACTTCATATATTTTGATACATTGCATTTGTAGTAAAAGCAATTGGAGATTTAAATCTATTAATGTTCTTGGCGTGTCCCTTTCTCCTGATTTCAGTTCTTGAAGCCGACCTTGTCACGAAAGATTATATGTATCGGGACAGCGTTTCGGAGTAAGTTTACTATGCCCCCCCTCCCCAAGGGGTAATTATCGATGTATTAGTAAATCTTCGATTAAAGATTCAAGGAATAAGACCTAGCAATTATTTTCCATGAACGAAACTACGACTCAGACTAACTGTCCAATTATATTATAACACTATGGTCTAGTCGCTAATGTCAGATATTTATAAAAGGTACCTATATTTATGTTAATCATTCACCGTGTATAATATTAATATATGAATCAATGTAAAAGAGCATTAGCGCCCAGTGTGACGACATTTACTATTATGATCATTGTATTAAGTTATTATCACAATATTATTGTTTAAATTATTTCTAGTTACGCCACTGTAATAATACGTATATTATAAGTGCGTGGCAACCCGTTTCATGTACCTATCCGTTGTCGTCGCAATTAGTGATGGGCAGGAACGACTACTTGATACTACCGACTATTAGTCGATTTTCATCACGTACAACCGACTAATTATTCGACTAAAATGTTTAAGACTAACTAATAAAAATATATAAAATTAGTTGACTAATTATTCGACTAAAATGTTTAAGACCAACTAACAAAAATAAATGAAATTAGTCGACTAATTATTCGACTAAAATTTTTACCACCAACTAATATAAATAAATGAAATTAGTCGACAAATAACTATTCGACTAAAATTAGGAACTAATAATTCGGTAATTTTGAGAAATTGTAGTCGTATTTTTATTTTAAACTAGTTAAAACAAAAATACCAATAATGACACTTACGTCATACACTACAAATATAAAATATATTTAGTACCCAAAATTCATTTAAAACAGTTGTAAATTTGTAAATTTTAATTTATATTAATTTATATTGCTCTGAAGTAATGTTTAAGTTTTTTAAGTTTTTTGTTATATTATTATGTTGAGTAAAATAATTCTGCTAAAAGCTTTTAATCAGTCCAATAAAAACAAGTTGAATAAAAATTACAAGTCAAATTATAAAAATTAAAAACAAGTAAAATAATAATAATATAAGTTATATATAAAAATTAGTCGAAGAATAATAATAACTAGTCGAATAATAAAAATGTTCGAGTAACTAAATTAGTCATTTGATACTACCGACTATGTCGGTAGTTATTAGTCACTTTTGCCCATCACTAGTCGTAATATACAGTATCAATATCGTACGCGATAAACAAATACATAACTATAATACCACAGTATCATTCATACCGTTCACTTCTAGCCTTAGTCTCGCTACACAAATTTGAATTTGTTTATACTACTGTCCTCCAATCTGAATAGAGATGGCAAGACGAGTGTTGGAGAAGCCAAATGACATTCGCCGGGACGACGGAGACAGTTGGTATAATTTATGGCCCTTAACCAAAAAGGCGGCGATAAAACGTCGACAACAGCAGCAAAGACGGTTGGCGCGCAGCCTCAAGGCACAGTCACAGCCGCGGTCGGGGGTCGAGATGACCATTTCTTTTGGCACCGACGAGACAACTCTTCCTGGTTGCAACTCGCCGAGCGCATCGTCGATGGTGTGGCAGTGCGGATGCAGGAGTCGTTAAACCGGTTTTTGCGGTCCAAAGCGATGGCGTCCCTGAACCGGGTTCTACGGTCCATGACGCAGGAGTCGTCGAACGGGGATCTGCGACCCACGGTGAGTGCGTTTTTGGTCCGGGTTTTGAACTGGTCGAGAAAAGTCGCCAGCCAGGAAGCCATTCAGCAATCCGGAAAGTTGAAATGAGAACGCGAAACACAGGCTTACAACGCGTTGTTCTATACTTGCACCATTTATCAGTTTGTTTAAGTTTTCGAATAAAAAGCACTTACCGTGCAACATATGCACATTTTGGCGTTTATATTATCATACATAGGCATTAACGCAGCGGGAGGGGGACGAATTCAAACCCTTTCCCCCGAAATATCAGAAATAATGTTATATAAAAATAACCTGACATACACATTTAATTGTTATTTCAAGGTTTCCCATGAGACTTACAAATAAAATATATAAATCTCTATGTATTACATAATGCAACCTCTATTTTTAATTAAGACTAAGGCACAAAGACTATTCCGAAATTAGAAGTATATAAAATGGATTCGAGAAGTTTGTACCTACCAAAGATGGAACTAGAAATTCTTATGCCTGGGGAAAATATTTAAATTACGCCGTATCATGGACCAATAACCAAATACTCTTATCGAGAGTTTTTTTCTAATGATTAATATACAATCATATTTATTAAGTTTTAATCTAATTTCAGTATTTAACAAAGTTAAAAATATCAAATTAGTAGATAATAATTACAAAAATTACATCCTCTAAAATTTTACGACCAGGGACGTTATAATTTTGGTTTGAATAACATGAGATGTTTTGTAAAAATAAATGTATTCGAAAAATGTTTGTAAGGGGGTCTGCAATTCCTAAAAAACTTTCATCGGAGGTCCGTGATCTAAAAAAAGGTTAAGAACCGCTGATTTAACCCTTCAATGCATAATGTAACATATTTACTACATACTGTTAAAACAACGTTTTCTCTATGATTGTTTACTTTAATTTAATTATTTTATGATATCTAGTATCATATGTGTTTATGTTAAAATAATAGTTCATTAAGTTATCAGTAAATAGCGCTAATTTCCATTAATATTATGTGTTAATGACAGTAAAGAAAAAAAAATTATATCCTTCGATATGCAACACTTAAAATGTATTTATTGAACAAATGATAAAGTTTTTAAATATAAAAAAATTATTTTAGGATTTATAGATATGTTATTTTTCATTATAAAATACTTATAATAGTCGAATATCATATATTTTAGTTTTGGTTGTGAAATATTGGTACGTATGATATATGCTACACCATGCATTGTGGACAATATTTGATATTTTTGTTATTTACTTTTATTTATTTACCATTTTACCGTCAATTGATAATGATTATTAATTATGATATGATTTTTATCAATTCAATTTCAATTATATATGTATGTAAAGTACGTTTTATTTTGACTTTTGAGTGCCAAAAAGATAACTATGAACTCAAAATTAACAGAGAGCTTATACAGCTTATGAACTTTGAAATACCGTTAGAATCGGAAGATGACGAGTCTTCAGATGATGATATTGAAGACTTTGCTGAACAATTTTTAAAGGAAAATGATATAGGTCAGAATTTGGATAGTATTAATTTTGACGTTCCCCTCGACATAAATATAAATGTAAATAATTCATCAGTATTTGATTATAAATTATCTGATGCTCAGAATGTGAGCTCTGTAGAATTAACTGTCCGAGAACAAGCCCTTGATTTAGAACTGGTCGAAAGTAGTTCCCCTGTTACTAGATCGAAAAATGATGTGTCGCTCAGTACCATGGGAAATAGTTTATCTTTTGAAGGCACTAGCCCTACTATAACTCCCAAACACGCAAAATGTTTACAGTATCCAACATAATGAGTAATGTGAATTGGAAAAAACGAGGATTTAAAATTGACAAAAGTGGTATAGAATTTAAAGGTAACGTGTTATTACCTAAACATATTTTAGATTTAGAAACACCACGACAAGTTTTTAAATATTTTTTTTTTAATGATATGTTACAACATATTTACTTAGAAAGTTCTAAATATTCTATTAGTCTGAATCCAAATAAACCATTCAGTTTGACTATACCTGATCTTAAAAAATATATATAGGTATATGTGTTGTAATGTCGGTAAATCATTTGTCAAATGTTCGTAATTATTGGAGTGAAATTATGGGAAATAAATTGATACAAGAAACTATGTCAGTAAATCATTTTGATAAAATAAGGCGTATTCTTCACTTTAACGACAATACGTTTTCCACCAATAATGATCGACTTCATAAAATAAGACCTGTATTAGAGACACTAAAAAAGAAGAACAAATTGAGGAAGCAATGGATCATCTTGTTGTGTTATTTGGTACTGAAATTTTGTCTTTGATTCCTGGACGAGTGTCTACAGAAGTAGATGCTAGGTATGTTTTAGAATAAAATGTATTATTGATATTGTTTTAATTATTTTTATAAATTTCAGATTATCTTTTAACAAAGAAGCAAGTATTGCTAAAGCTATCAAGTACAATAAAATGTACGAAAAAGCTGGAATTCCCAAAGAACGTATATTAATTAAGTTAGCTTCTACTCGGGAGAGTATTCAAGCAGCTAAGTAAGCATAGCAGAAATAGTATTTTAAATACTAATTATTATTGATAAATAAATTACTTACTATAAATACTTGTTTCAAATTGCTTTCAGAGTTTTGGAACAAGAACATGGTATACATTGTAACTTAACTTTATTATTTTCTCTTTATCAAGGCATTGTTTGTGCTGAGTCTGATGTAACATTAATACCTCCATTTGTGGGTCGTATTTTAGATTTGTAAATTAGAAGATTTCTTATTTATTTTTGTAGATGTGTAATTTTTTTTTTTTTTAGGCATGTAGCAAACACAAATAACAAAAGTTTTGAACCCTTAAAAGATCCAGGTGTCCAATTAGTAACCAAGATATACAATTATTTTAAAAAATTCAACTATAAAACAGTTGTGATGGGTGCATCATTCCGTAATATTGGTAAATTAATAAAATATATATTTTTATTAAGTATCACAGTTTTTAACAATTGTAACTATGTGTATTAGGTGAAATTAAAGCATTGGCAGGATGTGATTTGTTAACTATCAGTCCAAAGTTACTTGAGGAATTGGAACTGTTCAATGAGCCACTCACAGAATATTTGACTGTAAAGAATGGTAAACATTAATTTTACTTTGGCTATTAATACTTGTATTTAATTTATTGAGCATAATAAACTTTTTGTTTAGGAAAAGCTTCAGATTTGGAAAAAATTGAGATTAATGAAGCCAAATTCCGTTGGGAAATGAATGAAGGCAAAATGGCCAATGATAAGTTGTCTGAAGGCATAAGAAATTTTGCAGCTGATTCTCGTAAACTTGAGAAAATTCTCGCAGAGATGTTGACCGAAATCAAATAAATACCTGTCTTGTAATGTCTAGTAAATGAAAATTGTATGTTATGGGGAACAAAATGTTGTTAAATGTGATGATTTATACTTTCATTTTAATTATTATTTTTATTTTATTGAAAATTATGTGTATCGAGAAGAAATTATATTGAAAAAAAAAAAATCAAATGTTTTTATTATGTTATATAATTTAAATTATAATTGTTAATGATCCATATGTAGTTTAAAAGTTGAAGTATATAAAAGACATTTTTAATAATATTTACTATCTATTTGTCATTCTTTAGTCCCTCAACTAACGATTGATGACTTACTATTTCTATCTATTAAGATGCCTTGCTTTAGTATTTATTTAAGGAGCAATTTCTAATCACATCATCGCCGCCCTAGGTCTATGTGTTAATTGTAAACGATTATTAATGTGTGGTGTCAATGCGGCTACCACTTCTTTCTGCATCATCATCCAGGTAGTCGTTCATTGCAATCGTTATCGCAGTAGATGAATTATTCATCAAACTATAATTATTGTAGTTATCGAAAATTAGGTACCCACGTTTTGATTAATTAAAAAAAAAAAAAAAAATAGCTGCAAATATTTTGCAGTGCAATGTAATTTGTACTATTAATTCTATTATTTTGGTTCAGGTGGTCTCTTATTCCCTTTATGAAACCTTTTGTGTTTTTTTCTTTTCGATAAACGAATTTTAGTTTTCATTTTATATTTGGAATTCATTTTTCTAATTACAATAACTAAATAGTCTTTACAGAAACAAACAGGGCTCGAAATGGTTCACGAAAAATTTTTTTTCAGCGTTCCGATTCGTAAAAAAAATAACGTTTATCGTTCCGGTTCAAACAAATTTTTAGTGTACCTACCATATTTTGGTAAAATTTAAACATTTTGCAGAATTTTTCGTTGTAAAATATTTAATAAACGTCAAACGACCGCTACGCATAAGTACATTTATTGCTTATCGTATACGACAATCGTCGTCCGCCGATAGTGTATTTTAGCTTTATTTACACAATACACATGTGAATTTTAAAAGTTAAAATTTTAAAAGCATTATACCGGATTCACACTATTGAAATCACTTGTATGCTTTTTCTCGCATGCTTATTTTTACTCGTGCAAGAACAAAATTGAACAAACGTGAACGTTTATAGTACGTAAGCTCTTGCATGCAGTCCAACACGTCGGACAGAAGATGAATGAAATTAGGTAATTTTAGGCCAGTTTATTCCCGAACACGAATAATGAACCACGTGATCAATGTGATTTCTTAATTCAAAACAATCTGATGCGCCAACACTATTTTTTCTACTAATCCATTATCGAACCCATAATCTTTTTTTTTAAAAGCCTCTTGCTTCTTTTTTAAGATTTCTTTACGAAGCATATCGCAAACAATATAAGTACTCCTATTTTATTCGATCCATTTAACAGTCCCGTTAAAAATTTAAAAAAACAGCATTTCTACTCGCCATCAGATCACTTTTGAAACTAAACAATATTTAAATACATACATAACTAAAAATATACAAGTACATATGTAAATAGAGTTCATAAAGCACGTGTCACGGAATTCACGTGTACACGTGAAATACGTGTTTATCCAAATATATATATATATATATATATATCCATTTTTATAATGATGAAAATTAGTAATTTTATGTTATGCACTTGAAGTTTTAATAAATATTATAAGTACAGTATTAAGTTAAGGTTATACCTACGTTTTTATTTTGGATTTTACACGTGACACGTGAAACGTGAATTCACGTGTATTAAG